CTGACCATTGTAAGCACACCTGTCAGTGTTAAATGGTCTGTCTCAACCTTCTAACTTTTGCTTTTACTTGATAGCTTGGTCAGTTAAAGGAAGTTGAAAAAGAACAGGTAAAAACAAAGGGAAAAGTCTAAAATAGGAAAACTATTATTACCACCACATCCATGAATACCACATTTTACCACTTTAAGGTGCCTTCACTTACCTCTGACTTATTCCTCTGACTTCAGGATAAGTCCCTCTTCAGACTCCTATGCAAAATAAATTTGAGCCATGCATAGGGCTAAGACACTCCCCCCACTGTTCCATGTGATAGCAGTTGGATCAGCTCAAATATCCAATGTTGCACTGAAGATGGATGAATGTGGTCCCCCATAACCAGAAATACCAGGATTCAGGGGGCAGGAAGTGAAACAGGACAAAAAGCGTGTACCCCACAGTGCCTGTCATGTATCAACAATAGACCTTTCTTGTTTTGCTTTTAATGGCTTCCTTTATAAAATGTAAACATAAGCTATTAGCCTCATGGTAATTCTTTGTTTAGTGTGCTGACCAATTAATGGTGCAGACTTTAAAAGTAGTAAAGCACAACCAATGCATCGTACTACAAAACAGTAATCAGAGTTTGTGTATATCATGAATAAATGTGTCCTCTGTGACAGCAGCAGTCTCTAATACCACTGCTGCCACCAGTATGTGATCATTGCACTCTTAAGCCTCACCCTGCGCAGAGAATCTCCAGCTTGCAAGACAACAATCTAACCATTTACAGACAGAGTGAGCGCCACTGGAGTCAGTTACCTCCACATTTAACAATTTACGCACACAGACAGTAGCCACCATGCGTTTTCTTTCAAATTCTTTATTTGTATTGACATCACCATACTCACAGAACAGTGCAAAGCACTGTCTCCAATATAAAAGTCAAAAGTTAAGAGGTAACATCCCCTGTGTACAGAGATCACAAAATAACCATTCGGGAATAAGACAAAGTGAACAATCAACAGGTTAGACCATATACTGTATGCTGTAGAACAGAAAGTCAACTTGGGGAGTACCCCGGGGAGGAAGACTCCCTGCAACTATGAGCACTGGGATCCGTCCATTATTAATAAAGAGGGTGTATAAAGGGATGAGAAACAGTATGGAAGTAGAAACAAAGTGCTGGGAGGATAGAGAGAAGAGAAAGGGGGAAAAAAAGGGGGCAGCCCATGAGGAAAGGAGGAGGGAGGAAAGAAAAGGAACGAGTTGCCGGAGGAGGAAAGGAAGCTCTGTCCAAGGGAGAAATAAGTCAGTCTAGAGTGGAGGGTACAAAGATGGATTTCCCCTCATCAGAGAAAATAAACATATTCCAGGGAAGCCAGGCCTCATGTCTATTTTGTGACATCCGAATCAGATCTTCCATTTTATTGACCTCTTCTACTCTAGACAACCAGAGTGGGAGAGAAGGAGGATGGGGGTCTCTCCATCTCAAGGCAATACAGGAGCCACCACGTATTTTAATGGAATCATACACCGTACACAGCATCTGCTGTAGCAATTCTGAACTTTTAGAAATGTGCATGACACTCGCTGCTACGCTCAGGCAGGAATGTACAGAGTTTAAAATACAGGAGCCCTCACAGAGGCAAGGATTTTTTCTTTCCTGGTTAGAGCATTTAGAGAATTTTGGAGGAATGAGGGTGACATTGTGTTTAGCTCAACTTTCACATTCCCCCCCACTTGGTTTGGGATGTACATACAGTATATAATTACATTTTTCCATACAGAAACAAGGGCTTTAAAGTGGTTCTAAAGGCAGGACGCTGTGCAGCTCCCCTCTCAGCCCCCCCAATACTTACCTGAGCCCCATCTCGATCCAGTGATGTACAGCAACTCTCCTGGGTCTCTCCCTCCTCATTGGCTGAGACACAGCAGCGGGAGCCACTGGCTCCTGCTGCTGTCAATCATAGCCAGTGAGGAGGGGGCAGGGCCGAGCAGCGCTTTCTGTGTCTTATAGACACACAGAGAAGGCTTGGGAGCAAGCATGCACAAGTGCCCCCAGAGCATGCAGGTTTCTCTGGGAGCACTCAGCAGGGGGGAGGAGTCAGCAGCATCAGCGGGGGACCTGAAAACAGGAGCAGTAGCCACAGAACCATTGCACATAGCAGGTAAGTATAACGTGTTTGTTATTTTTAAAAAAATACAAACCTTTAATATTATTAAGAAATGAATGCATTCTGATAAGTTCTTTTACATCAAGCTAATTGATTTTACGTGTATAATAAAACTTTTAGAAAAGTAACTATACCCTCCCTTTACATTAACATTTGCCTACATCTAGCAAGCAAATAAGAGCTGTAATTGATTTCATGTTTTACCCAGGGGTCTAAAAACTGCTATGGAAATAATTTGGCTAGGCAAAGGAAAGCTTGTTCTGCTTTTTCTTATATGGTAAGAATTCTGAAAGTGAAGCTAATGCTTACGAAGTTGGACAACAAAAAGAGAGGTTCTGATTGGTGGCTATGGACAATATAGAGACTTTCAAATATATCAATTTGACTCTCAGCAGCTTCATTAGTCAAATTTTGCTAAGGAAACACTTTTTTTCTGCAGATATAATTGAGAGCAAGATTGAGAAGATGCTGAATAAAAGACTCCTAAACATTGCCATGGAAATAATCACTATGCTTGCTGGTGAGGTGAGAAATATTTGATACTGTATGATAATAGTAAAGGACAGATAACAGTAAAATCTTTCACATTACACTTTGTCTATGCAATCGACCTGACAATCTACAGTTTTATAGTGAGTAAATCTGTTGCATCTTGAAGTGGAAGAAAAGCTTTGGCTCCCCTCTGTAATGGAGTACTTGATAAAGGTTGTGAATTCTGGGAGGCGTAATGTCACCTCTAGGCTCATGTGGCCATTTCTGGCACTCCATCGGCTCCCCTGCAGCAGCCACTCGCTGACAAAGGGGAGCTAGAGCTGCAGGATCATGTGACTAGACCACCTTCTGTTAATTATGGTAGATTAAAACCATCTAACAAAAAACAGGAAAGATTTCGGAGATGGCAGACTAATTTTAAAAGACACTCCCAATCAAAATTACCAATATGGAGATAAACCCTGTCCACTAATTGACAAAGCTCAGGATAATGCTGTATACGCGCATTAGACTATATATATATTATTGCTCACAACCAAAACTGACAAACCATTTTATTGTTGCAGGAAGTGTAATGAAGCACATTGGTAAATGCAGTACAAAATTTTGGAAGCTGCTATTATTTGTTAAAGGAGAAGTATAACCAGAGATTTTTTTTGCTTATACTTCTCCTATGAACCGCAGGAGTGCAGTTTGTTCTGCACTCCTGTGATCTGTTTTCAGTCGTCGGCGGCTGACATCATAGAGCCAACCAAGGCTCTGAAAAGATCCCGACTGTGTGGTCGGGATCCACCCAGAAGCCTAGACCGGCAGCTGTGTCAGCCTCTCAGCTGTGTTGCTGGGAGACTGTGCCAGCCACTCCCTCCCCTCCCCAGCACGGTGCTCCAGTGAGCGCTGGAAGGGCAGAGCAGAGAGCTGGTGACAAACAGTCATGGCTTACTGCTCGGAGGGTAGAACTGAGAGATCAGCAGTCTTTAATTGCTTAGTTTGAACCATCTAGGTGAGCATAAACCCCATTCTTTTCTTTTAACAAAAATTGTACATCTGCTATATTTTTGACTGGTTTGACTTTAACCTCAATACATATACATTAAAAAAGAAATCAACCTAACAGTGACAGTCAAAGCAAAGACTATTGATTACAATTTGCTGCCTCCTGCTGCTCTGACATCTTTTGTGATTAGAAATTCCATGACATGGGTGCCTTAGCTCTCCAGACCAGCAGTCCTCTAAGAACTCCAAAAGGTGAGGCTGAGCACGGTTACCTTTCTTGAATCAGGTGAATTTTATTGAACAAGTGGCAGAGGCACTACAACCTGTTCCTCTCCTCTGATGTGTAGAGTAGTGTAAAGGAACAGGTTGGAGTTCAGTGTAAACCTTGTTCATAGGGGCAGCAAACGCAGGAAGTTTTATTGCATTTTTGATGTCCTAACCTTTTGGCAATGCTCCGTACAAACTTAAGTGGACAGCAGGCAGTACACTTTTAGAATTCATGAAACATTTGTGCCATTTAACGTTGTGGTGCATCAAAAACAGCTAGTAGGTGCTGATGCCTATATTGGTTGACAACTGTTTTTGAAACATCAGACAAAACTGGAGGAACAACATACCCCACAAATCCATGTACAAATGATAGAAGAGATTGTAAATTTGTTGCAGCAGTCACTTCCTATGTTCTCTGCTGATCGTGATGACTGCTGTCAATGTCGCTGTGCTGATCCATGAAGTTGAACAGCATCCTGAGCTGTATGACCTTACAGTAAAAAATAGACCTAAGTAAAAACTTGCCAACCTGTGCCTCAGAGGAATTGGGAAAGCAACTTATCCAAAAAGAAAGAAAGGGAAAGTGAGTATTATATACTGTATATTGCTTTTGTACATACTCACTATTTAAAGGATTAGTTCGTCTTTACAAGTAGTGCTCCAATTTTCAGAATAAAGCTTCTATTAAAAGTAGTACCTGTAGGCTGCGCCTAGCCTCTCCCATGTCTGTCCCAAAAACATTTGGGTTGTCAACCCCTCTCCTGCCTTCATGACAGTATGCTTCGGATGTTGGGCGCACACAGTCCCAGCACAGCATGAACAAGCTCTCTGACTCTCACTCTGTTGCGGAATAAGATTGGTTAACCACTGAAGTTCATTACAGAACCAGGCCTAACGTAGTGCTGTTATTTTTTGACCACTGCTATCATTTATCTAACAGATTATTTATAGTGTTCTAAAACTAATGGTATCCTGTATTATTATATAATATTCTTTTAGGACATAACCTTAGTATTTTTCTGTTTAACTGTATGTTTACATGTGATCAAACATGCCCTAAGTGTATCTGCTTTTTGTATGGTTTAGGAATATATGATGGTGAAAAAGAACTCCAATATGCCCAATTCCACATTGAAAAAGGAGGTAAGCACTGCACTGTACATGACATATAGTGGGTATAGCAGTGTTTTCCCTAGAGTTTTATTTTATCCAGGTAGGATGAAAAAGTACACTGGTGGTCCTAAAAGGAAAAAAAGCAGTCTATATTTCAGTATGTTTATTAAGGATTTTAAGAAACATTATTCAGAAAGACAGGAAACGCAACCCACCAACATGACGAGTTGTAGAACATCAAGCAATGAAACAGTATATTCAAGTACAATGTGTAGCAACACAACAACAAAAAATCGACCAATAAAGTGTAATGAGAGGAATACACCGATAGTACATTCAGATTTTGATCGATTATGAGCAAATTGCACCATAAACAGAGTGGTACAAATAAAATAATTAAAATAGAAGACAAAAGTAGAGAGAACGAAAAGTGAGGAAAGAACTGAGGAAAAAAAGTAAAGAATAAAACCCTAAAAAGAAATGAGAGGGCCAGCCAAGAGTCCATTATATAACATAAATATACTGAATCCATGGGTCCCAAGTGCTCTCAAATTTAGAAGTATTGTTATTAAGTATACTAGTAAGTTTATCATTAATAATAATCCAATTAAGTTTCTGTTTGACTAAGTCCAGCGAGATTGCTGACTGTTTCCAACGTTTGGCTATCGTAACTCTCGCCGCTGAAAAAAGCAGTCTAAAATGTAAAGCGCACTATTATCTTTTATTGCACACAAACAGAATATAATCTCTACAATTTTCCACTAAGTATAAAAGATCAGACTCTCTCCTGAGTTACCAAATATATCAAGCCGCTATATAATCTAAATGAAATCTGTGCTTGCAAAACAATGAGAAACTATAATAACCAAAATCATAAGTAGACAAATGCATTCAGGAACTTTACAGCTCATTATGTTAAACCTAAATTATGGCCATTAAATTGTTTACCTCTAGCATGCATGGATACCAGGCATGTTTCACACATTAGGTGTTTATGTATGTGCATGTGTCCGAAATCCATGTGCACTTTTGTCAAGGTGTCTTTAATTTTTTTAATTAAATAATTTTAGCTCCATAACAAGACCCGTATGTGATACTACTTAGGCAGTAAACAGGTATTCATTCTGAAGGCATCAAGATTTTAGTAGAAGCCTTCTCCGCTCCAGCCCCTGAAGATCTTGATTTGACAGCTGTAAACCTGAAAATAGCTGATTTTTTATGGGTTCATCCAGCCAAGAAGAGATTGGTGAATGTCAGTTCACTGATATCCTACCACTCTCCATTGTGAATGCCGCCACAATGGTCCTGTTCTCACAGAGAAGTAAGGTGAGCCTGGGGATCACAATGGGGGGGGGGGGGGGGTTAGAAGGGGAAGAATAGTCTGCAGTGTTTTCCCTGGAAGGCTTTTGCCAGGCAGCCAATTGGAGCGCTTGGTAATAATACTCTAGGAAGGGAACTGATATTTCATCAAAACTTTGCTTCATGTGTAAAGTATTTGTATCCTTATTTCTCAAAGGTGTATATTCCTTGGGTTTCAGGTGCCTGTAAAATGTGGTGATGTCTCAATCTCTTTCTCCATGGATGAATGGGATTATATAGAAGACCATAAGGATCTTTATCAGGAGGTGATAGGGGAAAGTGATCAAAGGCCTAGCAGTTGTTCACCCCCAGAAGAACCAGGTGATTCTCTTTGCTGGAAATAAAAAAAAAAAAAAAACTGGGTATAGCAAGAACCTGTTCCCTTAGGTTTCTCTATACCCCTTTTCATCGTCCACAATGCAATGTCTGACCTAAGCCACACAAAAGCAGTGATATATTTATCTTTTTGAAAGTATGGAAAATTGCAAATTTCAGATTGTGTTATTTTCCTGATGATATACATGAAGATTTGTCTAGTCTATTTTGAATCACAAAAGTTATTATTGCCTGGATTCCTAAATTCTGCGATAGTACATCAGTTAGCCATAAGTACATGGAAATGTAAATCAGAAACTAATTTATTAGCAATCATCTTGATTTTATTATCACTAATAAGCAAACCAAAACAGGGTCATGTGGATCTGTAATTTACTAAATGCAAAAATAGTAGACAAATAATAATTGTACTTTAGTTTGGCACAAAATAATAGTGAATCACCTTCCTGCACTTTTTTGCAAATGGTTTATAAAATCCTGATATCAGAGGTTCAGACCCTTTCCTGAAAACTTTTAAAGACCTAGTACCAGTTATATTCATTCATGTTTTATAAATGTATGCTAAGTAATGAGTAAGGGAAAATGTTACAGATATTATTACTCCCCCTGACAATGTCTTCATCATTCTTCCCACAAGACCAAAAGACTTTTAGGCCTCAGGAAACCCCCTGTATGACATTTTATCTTCAGCCCATGGTACATTAGCAAGATCAGTGAGACCCTTACATTGATGGTCAGTTGCTGACTTCCTTAACAATAATAGCCTTTGAGAAAAGACCCTCAATATTGGGGGTGGAAGAAAGGCTCCTTACACTGGTGGTTATTGGGAGAAAGATCCCTTCCCTTGATGTTTAGGTAGAAAACCCCTCTTATGTTGGCAGCTGGTGAGAAGAATGCTCCCCTTACAGATAGCCAAAAAGATTATTGGTGTCAGTGCTTGATTACTTGAGAGATTAAAAGCACCAGTGGTCCTTCGCTGCTGGATGTGTTGACAGATGTTGACTCCAGAACTGAACAGGTGCTGTCATCCAGGAGATCAGTCTACCACTGCTTGCTGCTAAAGGGATCTCTAGCAACTTCTGGAAGAACCCAAGGGTTACACAGAAGCCTAACAAAAAATAGCAGTATGATAGATGCAATACTGCTCAAACAAAAGTGGTTACTTCAAAATCCAAGCGGAGTAGTATTGTTATACAAAAAGCTCTATTCGATCACATGGATCATATAGAGGTTAGACATGGATGTGGTAAACAAGTAATAATAAAATCACTTAAAAACATTCGGCGTCGCCAAGTAAAGTAGTTGTTCGGCAGTCTGAGGATCCACATAAGGCAATGGAGTTCCTAACCACTAGATCAAAGAATTTTCCATATTTTCCATAGAAAATCAGCATAGGGAGAACATTCTTCAGAAACCATTATGGTAATAATCACAATAAGTAGAATGACTTCCTAAAATGGAAAAACCAAAAAGAAAGATCATAGTAGGTGGAACTACAATAAGGTAAATATACTGGGCAAATACATCAGCCCAGCAAACACAAAACTAGTGTAGTGAGTCATCTATTAATGTGGATACACTTTCATCTGGGGTGGTTACCCAGGAAGGCCATATATCCATCTTTCAATGATGGTCAAGCTTTTGAGAAGGTAATGATTTAAATATACACTAGTTTTGTGTTTGCTGGGCTGATGTATTCGCCCAGTATATTTACCTTATTGTAGTTCCACCTACTATGATCTTTCTTTTTGGTTTTTCCATTTTAGGAAGTCATTCTACTTATTGTGATTATTACCATAATGGTTTCTGAAGAATGTTCTCCCTATGCTGATTTTCTATGGAAAATATGGAAAATTCTTTGATCTAGTGGTTAGGAACTCCATTGCCTTATGTGGATCCTCAAACTGCCGAACTACTTTACTTGGAGACGCCGAATGTTTTTAAGTGATTTTATTATTACTTGTTTGCCACATCCATGTCTAACCTCTATATGATCCATGTGATCGAATAAAGCTTTTGTATAACAATACTACTCCGCTTGGATTTTGAAGTAACCACTTTTGTTTGAGCAGTATTGCATCTATCATACTGCTATTTTTTGTTAGGTATATATTGGGTTCATAAATCCACACTAATTATGAGTAAGACGGAGATATTAATATGACATATTTATAGGTGTCATATCAGGTGGCTCTTTTTCGTTTGGTTGTTTACACAGAACCCTGATTGAGAGACTGATCTTGACTAATATGCTGGCATATAGATTAGGAAATTATTCATATCTGTGTTATAGCCTTTTTGTTTTTGGGTAATTGAACATGTATCACACTGGCTGTTTTAATGATAAATAAGTAGTTTTTCTTGGAGAAAAAAAGAAAGGAAAATGTTGCTGTGACACTTTATTCAAAACTGTAAAATTATTCATAGGTCAGGTTTTAAACAAAAACACTTTCCTAAAATGATTTTATTTTTATCTTGCTTTCATTTAGCAGAGCTCTGTAATGAACATGTAACACAAACATCTGCTACTGATAAACAGGAAGATGACCAAAGCAGAGAGAACTTTAAACAGGTGGATGTTGCAACCAACACATTCACAAGTGAGTGATGATTTATTTAATGTATATTTATACTTTATTTGATTACAGATGAATTATAACAGCTGTGTAAAGAATTGCTTTACAGTATTGCTCGGTCTCAGCAGGTGAATCAATTACTGCATCAAGTGATCAAGACGTAGAGGAGCTTTGTGTAAACCATTCCACGGAGACCATTGTAGAGCAAGAGGAGGCCTGTACAGGTGTGTAAATGAAAATTACACCACCCAATGGAACGGATAGAAGAATTCTGGTATATTTAAGGGAAAACAGTATTAACTGTGGTCAATTTTATTTCTAATTTGTCAAGTCTACATCTTTTTATGCTAATTGTTTTCTGTCTTGTAAGTTTGTATACATTATATTTATTTTACAAATATTTTATGTAGGATGCACCCATGGCAGTGGTGTCTAAAGAAAGAAAGCAGCAGTAGCTGATTGCTTTTAGACTGTCTGTCTCCAATTGCACAGAGCTGTACAGAGTTAGGAGGGGGAAGGGTTTTTGAATAATTTCTGACTCATTCAGTTTCATGTGTAATTTGAACTTCAGCTAGTGAGCTCTGTAAACCATTAAAAAAAAAAACAATTAAGATGAGCCCAGTAAATCTGGCAATTCATCACAAATATAAAATGTATTCAATATGTCATATTTACCTGTTTAGAAATAAGAGTTAAAAATGTAGTCCTGAACAAAGTGAAATAATTTACATAGTGAAATTATATAAAATATGTTGACATTTGGTGATATTTTTCAAACAGATGAATCTAAGAGCAGTGATTTGGGAGAAGAGCCTTACATTATGACTTGTTCCCCTGGAGAGATGGTAGAAGATAGCAAGACCATGTTACATGATTCCCAAACAGAGGATGAGGAAGAACCTATGCCTGCTGAATCACCAAGGCAGTCAATGGAAAATCTTTGCTTATTCTTCTACGTCTGGTCAGTGTGAAGAGCAAGCCTGGAGTGACTATGAGAGATATGTTGGAGATCCAAGTTACACATCAGGAGAGCCAGTGCAAATTAAGGAAGAGAGCAGCCAGTTTAACTACAGCTATAGCGAAGAACCAGCTTTTATAGATCCCAATCCCAGCCATGAGGAACGTAGTGAGCTCTTTGACACCATGAATAACCTTCTTATCCACCAAATCACATTTGGCCAGTCTTCTTCGGTAGATAAGCCCTATTCTTGCAACCACTGTGAGAAACGATTTGCTAAGAGATCACACTTGGGAATGCACCTCAAAACTCACACAGGAGAGCGCCCTTATTCTTGTCCTGACTGTGGCAAAAAGTTCAGTCGAAGGTCAAACATGCTGACGCACTACCGTACCCATACTGGAGAAAAGCCATTTGCTTGCCCCAAGTGTGGCAAACGGTTCACGCAGAGCTCTCACATGGTGACACACCAAAGGACGCACACTTCTGACAAACTTTTCAGTTGCCCTGAGTGTAAGAAGCGTTTCACTAAGTGGTCCTACCTAAACTTCCACCTCCGAACACATGGAATAGAAAAACTGAGTGTACCCTGACAGTTGCTGGGCTGCACCTTTGTTATAGATCAGCAGACCTAAATCCATCCGTTTCTTTATATGCTAAAAAGATAAATACTCCAGTAAAACATGAAAATTGTGCATTTAAATGTCAAGAACACAATCTTCTTGCTGAGTGTTACTCATTTTCACTATCAGATTGTCATGAAAGGTAAATCTGGGCTTCTGAATTTGTGCCTGGGAGTATGTAGGCAAAGGATTCTATTGTACCAGCATCACTCTCTTTGTGAGCCCACTGCAGCCTCAGTCAACCCCATTGGAGCATGAGAGGGAGGTTGCACAGAACAAAATTGCGTGTCGTGGGGCTGTATTCTGCTGAATGAGAACCCTAATGAATCTGGCTGCATGGGATTACCTAAAGCTAAGATTAATCGTTAATTAGGAGGACTTTCTAATCTTAGTGCAGTTTTATTACGTCTTGGACAACATTTTCCTGACTGATCTGCTTGCACAGAAAGTTCCTTACAGTGGAATTGACGCTTACACTCCATTGTTTTGAAACAATGCAGAAGTGCCAAAACTATTATTATATATCTTGCCATGACAAGATACAATGAACTAGAGTACAGACCAGCAACATATTATTTTGTATTGTTTTCTGCAGTCCTTGAACGGATCTGGCCACTCAACTTGTGTCTAGAGGAATCGTGATACTGCCATCCAGGTCTGCTCTCTGTGACTGAACTTGTCTTTTCTTACGGAGCTATTTTTATTTGTAATGAAGGAGAATATTGCAGTGTAAAATGTGTTAAAGTGACTTCCTGCCATCATATTAAATATTTTTCTGTGAGAGATCATATAAAAGCTGCAGTGATAGTGCTGTGCCTCAGAATCAGGAGGCATAGTGAGTTCTGGGAGATGTAACCTCTAATGCTGGCCAAGTTTTAGGGGACAACTTCACCTTTAGTGAAGTTTTCTTAGTAACCTCCACTTTCCTGAGTGCATCCCACCTGGTAAAATTCTTACCTTCCTCCTCTTCATTGTGCGACCTCGCCCAGAAGCACATACTTAGCCTTTGCAAGGAACCATCCTAGTCAGGTCCCCTTCCTACAGGATTCTATGAATGAGTGGACTGTCCTTTAAAAATTAAAACCCATTTGTAAAGCACAGGTGTGCTTGCTGGGCATGCTGTATTAACTGTATGTAGCCTGAGCATAAAATACAAAGATTCCTGTGAATGGATGAGCAGCTCTCAGCACAACTTTATTTTTTCCAGAGATGGAATGTTCTCCCTTTGCTGTAACATATCGCTGTATGCTGTATGTACAGTGCCTTGATAAAGTATTCATACCCCTTAAAATTTTCCACATTTTGTCATGTTACAACCAAAAACAAATGTATTTTTTATTTTGAAAACCATTTATAATTTTCCTTCTACTTCACAATTATATGCTACTTTGTGTTGGTGTATCTTATAAAATCCCAATAAAATACATTTACATTTTTGGTTGTAACATGACAAAATGTTGAACATTTCAAGGGGTATGAATACTTTTTCAAGGCACTGTAGCTGAGGCTATGTACAGTTAATACTCACACTCACCTGTTAGTGAATTATTTAGTTTGTTTGGCCAGCTTGGACGAAATGTACTATTTAAAGGCACATTAAACCTGTAGTTAGGCTTTAAAGCAGTTTGGAGCAGTTTGGCATTGCCATTATAGACAGCAATCTACGTAATGTACTTTACGCAATTTAGAGAACAGCATTATTATACAAGACCTGAGCTAGAGGCAACTTATATAAGTGCTAACGTAAAACCTGAATTGTCACCTCTTAATTATCAAGAGAAGATTAAATATATGTTATTTAATGTGCAAACTGAAGGTGCGTTTTTGACACTGCATAGTGACACTGCACTGTCAAACCCTTGTGCTATTAACGAGGTCTTTAGGTACTGAGAACCATCTATTGGAGTTCTGAAACTTGGCATTATAGGAGGTTCACATTTTCCTTCACTATGCCATATCAACATTTCTTGTTTATTTCAACTTAATTGATACAAGGCAGACAAAAGAGATTTTATGCCTATATGTGTACATGTAAATAGAGTTGCACAATGATTAAGAAATACCACAGTAACTTTTGAGGTAGACGTTAATTCTTGTTCCTTTGTCATGTGCAAACAGACCAAACAAAATTAAAGCTTTTCAGTATATTATAGCTGTGTAATGTTTCTTTATGTTTATTGTATAATATAATTAAAAAGATTTTTTTTTGTAACTCCATCCAAACCGCAAAATAAACTCTTAAAATACATGCAATATTTGTATACTATTTTACATGTAAAATCCTAATTTTTGCTATACCTAGCAGCTACTTAAAGCCCAACTCTGTGAAACCTGAGTTTTCCGCTGCTTTTGTAGAAATGCGCACAGCAGTCCATTTAACATGATTTCCTATGGGACAGGTTCACATCTCCGCATTTTCACTCGATGTGTTTTGGAGAAAGGGTCAGGGACTTTCTTAAAACACAAAACGTTGCGTTTTTGGTTCTATAGAGTGCAAATGGAGACGCTGCAGAAAAGTATGTAGTCCATTCTTTAGGTGTTTTTGATATGTTTTGCATTTTATTATGCCCTGCGACAAGTTGAAAAAAAAAAACCGCAAAACACATCAAAAATCCAGCAAAAACACACTGCAAAAAGCAGTGCAGAAACACAAACTGGATAGGTGTGAACCTAGCCTTAGCTTGTATTGAGAATGTGTTTGACTATGACATCCTGTTAGGTGTCATCATCTCTATCCCTGGCTGCCTAAACCAGCAGGATACATACAGTCATGCTCGCCCGCATCTTCCTGTTCATAGAGTCTGAAGAGGCTCCCTTGCCTGGCATGGCTATGAGATTTCTAATTGCCAGAACATATAGCCCTTTCTTCTCAGGGTGAATGGGAAAAACTTTTGAGTGTACCGGCCACTTGTTTAACCACTTGCCCTCCTGAGGATTTACCCCCCCCCCCCCCCCCCTCCTGACCAGGCCATTTTTTACGTTACAGCGCTGCATTAATTTGACAATTGCAAGGTCATGCAACACTGCACCCAAATTAAATGTACGTTCTTTTTTTCCCATGATTCGAGCTTTCTTTTGGTGGTATTTCATCATCTATCCTTTTTTAAATGTTTGCGCTATAAAAAAAAAAAAAGTGCCAATTTTGAAAAAAAAAATTATTTTTCACTTTTTGCTATTAAACATGTCCAGTAAAAAAATAAAAAAAAATTAAATTTCATCTTAAATTTACGACAGAATGTATTCTGTGACATGTCTTTGCTAAACAAAAATCCCAATATGTGTAAATTAATTTACATGAAAGTTATAGCGTTTACAAATGGCGGTGTATATATATGGGATTTTTTTTTTTTCTATGGCAGCGATCAGTGACTTATAGCTGGACTGCGGCGGACATTCTGACACTGGGGGGAACTGACTACAGTGATCAGTGCTAAAAAAAAAAAAAAAAAAAGCACTGACACTGTACTAATGGCACTGGGCAGGAAGGGGTTAATGTGAGGGGCGAACAAAGGGTTAACTGTGTAGTGGGTGTGTTTAACTATGGGAAGGTTTCTGTGTGCTTCATTGTAAGCACACTGCTTTAGATGGCTGTGCACAGCCATCCAAAGCAGTGTGCCTGAGCTGACAGGGAGGAGAACTTTTAGGCTGGCCATACATTATACAATTTTCATGAGAATTTTGCTTTAGATTTACCAAAAACCATATAATAGGAGGTCAAACCCAAACAACACTTTCAATTGTATCCAATTAGGCAGGCCCTTGCACTACATAGTTGAAGGTAAATCTAAAGGAAATTGGACAGAAATTTGTATAGTGTATGTCCAACATTAGTAAACAAAACCGTTCTCCCTGTCAGAGATCCTCGGTAATTACCGGCCGGGACCCGGTGACTGACAGCCACGGCCGCGAATGGCAGCATGGGTAGGGCGCGCATGCCCCTTACCCGAAAATGCAAAATCACGTATATATACTTGATTTTATGAACCCTTGCCGTCCTGTAGCAGTATTTCTGCTATAGGGTGGTTGGGTAGTGGTTAATGAATGTCACAACATGTTGGGTGTCATCATCCTCATTTCTGATTGCCTAACCACTTCCCGTCCGGCCGTTGTATATAAACGGCCGGACGGTAGCAGTGCAGGGTCGAGTGGCCGTTTATAAATGGCCTCCCCGCACCTTGTTTGTGCGCGCTCCCTGGGAGCGTGCAGCACCACGATCCAGTGCCCTCTGTACGAGGTCCCGATCATGTGATCACTGATTGACCAATCAGTGATCACATGCAGAGTATTAAGCAAGATGCTTACTACGTGTGAAATCTGTAAATTATCACAGAGGTCACATGGTACAAGGCTATTCACAACAGCCTTGTACCATATGACAAGCTGTGACCAATCACAGCTCACTCAGTAGTTCTCAATGGCTACAAGAATGCAGCTACATAGAAGGAGAAATGATTGATTTTACATCCTTTATAGGTGTAAAAGAAACAAGTATAAAAAAAAATCTTCATCACCCCCCACAAGTAGTACAGTGTCACCATGGTGACACTGTACTGGTAGGGTGACAGTATGTAAAAAAAAAATAAAAAAAAAAATATTAAAAAAAGTTTAAAAATTATAATTTTTTCGTTATAAACTAATTTGGGTTATTTTGTTTACTAAAATTATAACAGAATACATTTTGGCCAAGATTTATGATTAAATACTATTTATTTGCAAAATTTTATAAGAAAAACACTTTTTTTTTCAAAATTTTTGGACTTTTTAATTTATATAGCAAAAAAAAAATAAAAGTCCCAGTGGTGAAAAAATACCACCAAAATAAAGCTTTATCGGTCTCAAAAAAATGCTATAAAAATTCATATGGGTACAGTGTTGCATGACCGAGTAATTGTCATTCAAAGTGTGAGAGCACTGAAAGCTGAAAATTGGCCAGGACAGGAAGGGGGTAAAAGTGTCCGGACTGGAAGTGG